CCTGCCCGAATCCCGCGCGCTGGCCCCGCTGACCGCCCCCTAAGCCGACGGACGCGCGCGCCCTTCGAACTTGTCTTCAGCGTCCGAGACGTGGTCGCAGCGCCCCGGACTCGCGGGCGTGCCGCCGGGTTAAGACAGACCTTTCCGTCTTGAAACAAACAGCCGTCTCCAGTCCGGCGGCGACTCGGAGGCCAGGGCGCTTTACCTCCACGTCTGGTCCGCTGGCCTGGACTTGGAACCTCTGTCAGGATTGGGTAGACACTCATCAATCCCCTTTTTCAGAATTTTGCACAGTAGTATCAAACTGTCGCACGCTTTATTTATTCTGAAGTTTTTATGTATAGGCTGCGTATGTACAATCTATAAAGAACTGCATAAGTTAAACTTGTAACTTGACACGTATTAACCAGTTATTTTAGAAGGTTTTTGTTTGTGAGTCATAATTTTGTGTTTTGTGTTAAATTTTATCTCTGAGATCTTTCAGAGGAAAGGGTTAATAAAAATTAGATACTGATTTCCTTTTTTAAATGTGTATGCTTAACCAGTTCAAATGTAGTTTACCTCTTGGAAAAATTCAAGTTAGGATGAAATTAGAACTCTAACATCCGATTTAAACGGCTTGAATTTATCTGCAACTCCGGCTCTACCTTACTGATAAACACTGTTACTCTTTTTGAAACACAGAACAATCTACTTTGGGAAGTGAAGAATGGAATCCTTGGGAAGGTGATGAAAAAAATGAGCAGCAACACAGATTTAAAACTAGCTTTCAAATATTGAATAAATCCACGAAAGGGAAAACAGACTTCCGAATACAAATCTGGGGCAAAGCTGCCATTGGTAAGTTAATGTGTAGAGCTAAGACATGTGAAAAGCATCACAAAATGTACTTTATTAATATTAAATTCAATTCACTTAAATACATTTATAGTTTTTTATCATTTGTTAAGGTATTATGATGCATTCTTTCTGTTTTTTTCAATATTTTATTCCTCCTTTCTGTGTAAATACATGCACACAACGTTCCATTGTTCATCTTCAGCTGAGCACAGGTTGATTTGTAGATACGAAAAATGGGTCGTGTAAGCATTATTATAGTTAAATGCCTATGTCAGTAGAATTTTCATGAATCTGTGTTTATTGATACTTGATACACAAGTCTAAGTTGATGGCCAAACAAGTTTGGGAAACATTGAACTAAACAAAGTTGAACCAGGTTCTTTATTGATTTCTCAGAGCCTTTCATAGGCCAATATTCATTGGCAATGTTGAAGAAAGGGATATAATATATAGCTGATCCAACTAGATTGCCCACAAAAGCATTTTCCTCTGAGTATCAAGAGAGCCTAGTATTCCAAGTTATATATCATGCTCCATTAGAGAATGGAGCCCTCAACTCTTAGAAGAGTCAGAAAGAATTTAGTGAATTAGAAGGGGCTTTATTTGGCCTTTAAACATGAGTTGGATTTATATGTACAGTAAGGGATATGGGTAGAAAGTATACCAGAGCAGAGGAAAGTAAACAGAGGACAAAGCCTGGCCCATGTTGTTTCATAAATTCATTCACACTTGCTTACAAATGTACAACCTTGAGGATTACTACTGACCTCTAAATTTCAGGTACCCAGAACCAGGCCTCCAATCATCATGTTCTAACAATTTTTTTTCTTTATAAAATTTTTAATATTAATTTCTTCTTTTAAATTACCATTTCCCCATTCTAGTTTTTAATTGAATCTACATGTTGCCCTGGCCTCTGTTGCTTACTTGGTGGTTGAGCATCATCCTGCGCACTGAAAGGTTATCAGTTCGATTCCTGGTCAGGGCATACAGGAGGCAACCAGTGGATGTTTTTTCTGACATCTATGCTTCTCTAAAATCAATAAAAACATATTTTTAAAAAATAATACATCTTGCCCGGCCGAGCGTGGCTCAGCGGTTGAGCGTCGACCTAGGATCCAGGAGATCGGTGTTCGATTCCCAGTCAGGGCACATGCCCAGGTTGCGGGCTGCAGCCCATCAATGAATCTCTGATCATCGATGTTTCTCTTTCTCTCTCCCTCTCCCTTCCTCTCCCTGAAATCAATAAAGATATATTTTTAAAAAAAATAAAAATCTACATCTTAACAAGTTTTCATATTTCCAGACTTTTTTCTTTTTAATCCAATAAGCACAAAGTGGCCAGGTGAATTTTATCAAACTCTACTTTCATCAACCTATTCCCCAGGCATAGTAGTAGCATTACCAGTTATAGACATTCCCACTTAAAAAGGGAGAAAATGGTAGGAAAATTGAGTCACTGGTCCAAGCAATTTTGAAATCCAACCAGGCAAACTCCATTAGGTTTCAAGGCCTGAGAATAATCTGTGGCTCAAAGCTTTGCTTCTGGCTTTTTAGCTCTGCCTTTGGAGTTATCCTTCCTTTTTCATCATCAGTAGTTTTGCAGTCTGTTTCCTGAAGGTAGGGTTTTAAGAGTCCAACAGCCTTCTTTCATTTCAACCTTTCTCAGTCCCTTTTAGCCCAAGCTGCCAGTGTTTCTGCTGATATAACATTCTCAAGAACTTTGTGGGTCTCCTGTGTATGTCATGAGGATTCACTGCATTAGAAAAGAGATCCTCCACACATCTGTCTTGAACCATTTCTATTTTTGGATTTTGCTAAGATTACTAAAGGAAATCCATAAATTACACATCTAATATCTTCAAAGAGCTCTCTATATGATTGACTATTATCTTTTTATCTTATGAGGCACCTAGCCAAAGGATATCAAGTCACATTCTTGGCCTTCTCTGAAGAGCATGCTTTCCTGACAGTGAATCTCCTAAATTTTCACCTCTTGCAATCTGAATAGGCTGAGAATTTGCCAAATCATCAAGTACTGGTTCATTTTTACTTAACAGTTTTTCCCTCAATCTCTCTTTCCTCTCATGTTTTGCTATAATTAATAAGATGAAACCAGGGCACAGCATCAACATTTTGCTTGGAAATCTCTTCAGCTAAATATCCAAGTTTATTGTTTACAAGTTCTGCTTTCTAAATAACTACAGGACACAATTCACCTAAGCTGTGTGGTGCTATACAGTAAAGTGCCACTTAAAGGGATATGTTCTGAGAAATGTGTCATTAAGTGATTTCATCCTTGTGCAAACATTATAGAGTATACTTACACAAACCTGGATGGTATGTCCTACTACTGTAAATGTATGTGCTATGCTTTTCTACGACTAGCAGCATAGTAGGTTTGTTTCCACCAGCGTCACCACAAAGACGTGAGTAATGCATTGTAGTATGATTTGACAACATTGCCAGGCTTAGGAATATTTCAGCTCCAATATAATCTTACGGGACCACCATCACATATGCAGTCCATCGTTGACTGAAATGTCATTACATGACTGTAACACGGATTCCCTTTTCTCCAGTTTCTAATAGCATGTTACTCATTTCCTGAGCCCTCGCCAGCGACGCTTTTTTTTTTTTATCCTCACCTGAAGATATTTTTTCCATTGCTTTTCAGAGAGTAGAAGAGGGGGAGAGAGAGAGAAACATTGATGTGAGAGAGACACATCAATTGGTTGCCTCCCGCACGTACCCCATCTGGCACCAGGGGTCGAGCCTATAACCAAGATACGTGCCGTTGGCTGCAGTTGAGTCCAGGACCCTTCAGTCTGCAGGCCAACACTCTAACCACTGAGCCAAACCGGCCAGGGCCAGCAACATTTTTAACATACATATTTCTACTGACAGTCTGCTTATGACTTAGGTATTCTCTAAGATGATACAGGTTCTTTCCTAATGTACTCCTAACTTTCTTCAGAGTTCTCACTAACAAAGACTTTAACATATTTCTACCTATAATTTATTCAAGGCAATCTAATCTAGGCTTTTTTTAAATTATATTCAAAATTCTTTCAGCCTCTTTCCATTACCTAAGTCCAAAGCCACTTCCAGAATTTTAAATATTTGGTACATTACCCCGTTTCCAGATACCATAATCTATAACTACATAATCCGTAGTTTCCTATAGTTGCTGTAACCTATTACCAAAAATGTAGTGGCTTAAAACAACACAAATTTATTATCCTATGTTTCTGATGGAAGAATTCTAAAATGTGTTCATAGGGCTGTATTCCTTTTGGAGACTAGAGGAGAATCGGTTCTCTTGCCTTTTACGGCCGCCCGCATCCCTTGACGCGGCCCTGCATCACTCCGACCTCTGCTTCCATCCTCACATCTCCTTCCCTCACTCTGACCCTCCTGCCCCCTCTTGTGAGGACCCTTGTGATTACAAAGAGCCCACCCAGATAATCCAGGACAATCTCCCCACCTCAGCATCCTTAATTTAATCACATTTACAAAGGGTGGTGTTTTTTTTGCCATGTAATGTAACATATTCACAGGTTCTTGAGATTAGATCCTTGCACACTTGGCGGTGAGGGCATTATGCAGCCTACCACAATTAGGAAGCTTTATCTGATTGACTTCGTCTTTAAACATGTTTTTGTGTGTGTGTCCTTTAGTGTCAGGATGTAATGAGAATGAAACAAAACTCATCTATCGCCCGGCCGGGCATGGCTCAGCTGTTGAGTGTCGACCTAGGATCCAGGCGATCGGGGTTCGATTCCCGGTCAGGGCACATGCCCGGGTTGCGGGCTTGATCAATGACTCTCTCATCATTGATGTTTCTATCTCTCTCTCTCCCTCCCCTTTCCTTTCTCTGAAATCAATAAAGATATATTTTAAAAAACTCATCTATCAATTTAACTAATAAAGGGCTCCCAGATTACCTCATTGTCTCCAGGTTTCTTCATGGTATGACACTACTTTCCTGTACTCTCAGAGCTTGCATTCAGATGATAACATGATAAAACATCAGAGGCTGCCCTAAGGAGAAAAGATGCAGTGGCATTTGTCTGCAGAGGGCATCTTGCAGTGAGGGATTGAGGGATATGTGTCCAAGTGGGAAGGAGGAAATATCTCCTTGACACAATGAATTGATATGTACATACATGGGCTTCTCTGATTATGTTGGGCTCAAAATAGTGAATCCTCCCAGTTTGTTGTAAAATAAAAACGGTTCTAATCATATACAGCAGGTCCTCCTAACATCCTTTCATTCAAGTCATTTTATTATGATGTTGATGAGATGCCATAGGAACTTAACTCCTGTTTATATCAATTAGCCTTTGATAAAAGTGGCTTTGTTTTATGCCCTTTCACTTAAAGTCACAGAACATATCAGGGATGTTAACTGAGGACTGACTTTAGTAATTTACATAGTACTATGAGACATTTCAGGATAAAATAGGTGGTAATAGTCCAGTGATAATTAGGAGTTTCTCAAATTTAGAGTAAGAGAGATTATTGTCTTTAACCCACATTTTGCCACATTTTACATTGACAACCTCTGAGTTCTGTCTCTCGTACCATAGCTGCCATGTTGGTGATTTTAAGCTATTGTTTGGTAGCACTGCCTGCTAAGGGACCAAAGGGGAAAATCTGGTTTCCTAATCAAATGATATAAAAGAGCAGAACTTAAGCTCATCCCACATACCAGAGTAGACCAGACAGTAAATGTTTTTGTTCTTTTAATTACCAGGTTTGTATCTCTGGGAGCATATTTTTAAAGGCTTACTTGATCCCACTGATGTGACGGCTCAATGGAGAGAAGGAAATTCAGTTGTAGGAAGAACACATTACAGGTATTAATTATACAGCATTAACCTTTGCCGTGTTGCCGTACAATGTTTTATGTAAATACTAGGAGAAAAATAAAAGTAAACCATATGCATAGAAAATATTTCCGCTTCAACTTGTGAAAAATAGAGAAATAAGTCTCATGAATCTGTATTCATAGTTAAAGCTTACCTTGAATATTTTCTTAGGAAATTAAGTACAAACATTCCTCATTTTGGAATCGTGTCTTTTTCACTTTTATAAAAATATTTCTGATTACATGAAAAAATTCACATTCCAAATTTTGTTATATATTTAATTGTTGATCAACATTGAACATTTCATATCTTGAGGAATAATATGTAAACTTAAAATTATTTTCAGTTTTTCTCTTTTGTTTGATAGTTATGTTCATATATTTTAATAATAGTAGGTGGTATCAAAGCTGTTGCTCTGAGTTGAAATTTTTATTTATTAAAACATTTCATTATGAGTTCTATAATGATTTAATGATTTAAAGGGTGTAGGTTACCATTTTACTGCAATACTAGAAATCTTGTTTTTTATATTCAGTAAAATCAATGTATTGTTAGGACTTTTTTGAGCTTTTATTTTTATAAAACTTAAAATGTTTTATAACTTAAATATTTCAACACATTCGTCTTTATTTGACCAAAAGTGAATTGGAAGAAATGGGTCACCTTGAAGAAATCAGTGAAAGAGTTTCTAAGTACTACAGGATACTTGTAAATAAGTTTAATATAGTTTGTTTAAATAAACCTTTTCATTTACAAGGAGCTTATATTGTTTACTTTTAGCCTCACAACAATTATGAGGCAGAAGTAGAAAGGACATCTTTAGTCTTCCTGGGTTGATAAGGCTCATGAATGCTGATTCGTATCAACTCGTAACCCAAAGAATGTAACCCAGAGTACCAACTAAATAACTCCGATTGGAACTAGAACTGTCAGTCCGTGTGCTCCTATTGACTTGACCGGCACATTTTTTCCATAATGGCAGGCTACAGTTGCCCAAATACCCAATAACTGCCCAATTATTTGAGGGTCGTTTGATAAAATATGGAATCAAAATATGGGATTTAACAATATGTACTACTTCCAAACTCTGTGTGTTTCAGAAGGGAATAAGTGACTTACTGTGCACCAATGAATCGGTAACGTAGACTGTCCTCAGCATATGAATACATGTGAGGCAAACGGAACTTCTGAGTTAGCCTCATGAAGCCCTGTCACCTCTGGACAGTGTAGCAGTATGTTGAGTTGTAAGACCTCAGACTTTGCACCCAAAATATCTCAGTCCAAATTCCAGCTTTACCTCTTATTAGCTGTCTGGCCTTGGGCAAGTTTCTTATCCTCTCTGTGCCTGGATTTCCTTAAGTTTAAAATAAGGCAAATAGTAGTTTCTACTTCAGAGGATTGATATACGGTGCTTAGAAAAGTCTCTGGTACATAGTAATCACTATACAAGTCTTGTTATTAATTTTAAAAATACTTAAATAGGTACTGCAACATCTCCCTTCCTTTCAGTTCTCCTTTTTCTGTGTTTCCATTATTGTCTACTATCCACTATGTACCTCCCCACAAATACCTTATTGATATATTCTTTATATTAATATGTTCAAGTAGGCTACAAGCTAGGCTGGGATCCATTTTGTCTTTTGAAGGAACTTAGCCTATCTCTACTCATATCCATCATATGTTGATTTATGGATTGGTTTCATTGGGCACCTTTATTTTTAATTTCTTAGGAGGAATCTTACTTCTCATCATGGCCTTTGCTCATCCTAAGAGGACTCCCTTCAGACTCCAGTAATTTTCATGTGTAGGCATTATCATAAGATATATATACATGTCTACTCATATGATAAGCCAGATGCTAACTCGATATCAGTGTTCAATTCCAATATTTTCAATAAGCATCTATCACTTATAAAAAAGGTGAACGGATTTCCAGAGATCATGATAGAATGAAACATGTCTGATCTTATTTTTTAGAATTTCCAGGTATTCCTACTATAAGAAGGTAGTGAGCTCATCACTCATCCCAGTGAGTGAAAGCTTTTGTAGGTAATAGTTAGTGACACTACATTTAAGTAAAATACTGGGTCATGGATGAGTATCAGTCTCAAAATTTCTATTACAAAATAAAGGCAATGTAGTGAATTTTTCATGATGCTCATTCTCCCCCTCCAGCCAAGCTGGTGTGAGAGTAGGAGTGTTCCATGAGCACTGAATTAGGAAGATGTGGAGTCATAGCAGGAAATGCTGACCACAAAAGCAGGGTGAACTGCAGCAGCTGTTCAAATATAAGGGCCATTCTTGAGTTCGGTATACCAAAGTTTTCTAACACACCTCCCAACACACACACACAAGTATCTGAATCTTACGGAACTTCTTTTTAATCCCTAAAGTTTCTTTACCCAGATCTTTGCTTCCCAGACTGTGTACTGAGGTATCCTGGGACACCACATAACTTTTTTTTTTAATTGATTTTAGAGACAGGAAGGGAGAGAGAGATATCAATCGGTTGCCTCCCGCACATGCTCTGACGGGGAATTGAATCCACAGCCAGGGCACCACATAATATTTTAACGATTTGTGGGAAACACAGTTATACTTCACATCTGTCAAGACACCATGCAAACTGCACACTCAAGGTAGCCCACAGTTTCAACATTAGATCACCTTACATTAATTTCAGTGAAGTCATACCTTTGTGGAGCTGAGTTTTCCATGGTTGCTATGATAAAATACAAGTACCATGCAAAAATCAAAGTGGAGCAGGCAATAGCAGCGGCAGTGTTCACTTTGGTTCCAAAGTTTAAGAGCTTGTATAGTGCTCAACAGATGCACACATCCCATTATTATTTGTGGTTAAGAATGAAATAGGATTTTTTTTCTTTCGGTGTAGTATTTGTATTATTCTTTTTTTCTTTTCTTAATTTTATTTTTTAATTACAGTTTACATTCAAAATTATTTTGTATTAGTTTCAGGTGTGTAGTATAGTGGTTAGACAATCACGTACTTCACAAAGTGATTCCTTGATGTTTCCAGTACCCACCTGGCACCATACATACTTATTACAATATTATTGACTACATTCCCTATGCTGTACTTTACATTCCATGACTATCTTGTAACTACCACTTTGTACTTCTTAATCCCTTCACCTTTTTCACCCAGGTCTCCAACCCCCACCCCTCTGGAATCCATCAGTCTGTTCTCCGTATCAATGAGTGTGTTTGTATTTTGTTTGTCCATTTATTTTGTTCTTTAAATTCTACATATAAATGAGATCATGTGGCATTTGTCTTTCTCTTTCTGACTTATATCACTTAGCATAATACCCTCTAGGTCCATCCATGCTGTTGCAAATGGTAAGATTTCATTCTTTTTTATGACCTAGTAATATTCCATGAATTATTCTTTAAGTAACTTCTAAGCTGTTAGAACATAAATACTTACTAAGTTGTTTGGACCTAAGAACTTAAAAAAATGTATTATAACTCATTTCTTTTTTTTTTAAAGTAGCTGTGTTATTTATTTATTTATTTTTAATATATCTTTATTGATTTCAGAGAAAGGAGGGGAGGAGAGGGAGAGAGTTGAAGCATCAATGATGAGAGAGTTGTCATTGATCAGCTGCCTGCTGCATGCCCCCGACTGGGGATCGAGCCCACAACCGGGGAATATACCCTGACCGGGAATCAAACCCCAATCTCCTGGATCCTAGGTCGATGCTTAACTGCTGAGCTACACCCGGCCGGGCATAACTCATTTCTTTTGGCTCTGGAGACACTGTGAAAAAATTACTGAAACACTGAAGGCGCTAGGAACCAAGAAAGTTTGGGAACCTCTGGTCTACACCTTAGCTCCACAGTTATTTACCCTGTGGCTTTCACTGTTACCTAAACATGGCCTTGAGGTCTGGAGAGATGATTTGCGAGAGCGTAAAGGCCAACATGCCTGCTGCTGGAATGTAAGAGCTCTCTACATAGTGGAGCAGTGGAGATTCCAGGATGGACCCAGTGTGTCCTGAGTGAACCGTTCTTTATTTTGTTAATTTGTGTGGATCAATAAAATTGAAAGTATTCCTTTCACATGAAAGTGACATTTGTGCACAGCTGCCTTGGCTCAGTAGTTGAGCATCGACCTATGATCCAGGAGATCTCGGTTCCATTCCTGGTCAGGGTACATGCCCGGGTTTCAGGCTCAATCCCCAGCAGGGGGTATGCAGGAGGCAGCCAATCAATGACTCTCTCATCATTAATGTTTCTTTCTATCTCCCTCCCTCTCTCTTCCTCTTTCTGAAATCAAAAATATACTAAAAAAATAATAATAACATGTGTTTATATGGTACTCTTTAAAATAATTTGAGCATGTGATCTATATGGGCTTAATGTCAACTAAGGTTGAGGCCCATCTCTACCATTGCCTATCTAGTAACTACCACCTTTAAGCAAGTCACATAACCTACCTCAAGGTTTTCATTTCTTCCTTCATAAAATTGACCTAGGGTAGGGAAGGAGGGCAGGAAGAGTTCTCATGCTCTAGGGATTAAACTTGCCTATAATTCTAAAGGAGAGTGTTCATATATTACCAATAATAAATATTTTAAATCTATCATAACTATCATCATTTTTAACATGTTTTCTAGCCCCTCTGATTCTGCAGATTCTCTTACTGAATCATGGGCCACCTCCAATGCCCAGTCCTTTCCCAGGGAAACTCAAAATGCACTTCTGGTCCCTATAGGTTATTACCACTGTAGAATAATGTCATAGACCTTATATAGTACATATACACACAAGCAAAATATATATTTGGGTTTTGTGTTTAAACTAATATCTGTTAACTCTAGTAATTAACTATAGTGTTGTAAGAACAGCTTAAACTCTGAAGTTAGACTGATCTTGATTCAAACCTCAATATTAATAGAGAATCCAGAAATAAACCCACACCTATATAGTCAATTAATCTATGACAAAGGAGACAAGAATATACAATGAGATATAGTCCCTTCAATAAATTGGGAAAACTGGACAAGCACATGCAAAAGAATGAAACTGGATCACTTTTTTATACCATATGCAAGAATAAACTCAAAATAGATTAAAGACTTACATCTAAGACCCAAAACCATAAAACTCCTAAAGAAAACATAGACAGTAAACTCTTTAACATTACTCTTAGTAATATTTTTTTGGATATGTCTCCTCGAGCAAGGGAAAAAAGAATAATAAACAAGTGGGACTACATCAAACTAAAGAGTTTTTGCTCAGCAAAGAAAACCATCAACAAAGCAAATAGACAGCCTAGCAAGGGAAAAGATACTTGCCAATGATACATTCAATAGGAGGTTAATATCCAAAATTTATAAGAACTCATACAACTTAATACCAAAAAGCAATCGGATTAAAAAGTGGGCAGAGAACCAGAATAGATGCTTCTCCAAAAAGGACATACAGATCACCAGTAAACATGAAAAGATGCTCAGTGTCTAATAATCAGAGAAATGCAAATTAAAACTATAATGAGATATCACCGCACACCTGTCAAATGGCTACCATTGGTAAATCCACAAACAAGTGCTGGCGAGGATGTGGAGAAAAGGGAGCCCTTGTGCACTGTTGGTGGGAATGCAGATTGGTGCAGCCACTATGGAAAACAGTATGGCAATACCTCAAAAAATTGAAAAATAGAACTGCCTTATGACCTAGCAATTCCACTTCTGGGTATTTATCCGAAAAAATCCAAAACACTAAATCAAAAAGACACATGCATCTCTATGTTCATTGCAGCATTATTTACAATAGCCAAGATATGGAAGTAACCCAACTGCCCATCAATAGACAACTAAAGAAGTAGTAGTACATATATACAATGGACTATTACTCAGCCATATAAAAGAATGAAATTTTGCCGTTTGCAACAACATGGATGGACCTAGAGCGTATTATGCTAAGTGAAATAAGTCAGACAGAGAAAGACAAATACCATATGATCTCACGTATATGTTGAATTTAAAGAACAAAATAAACAAAACAAACTTATAGATAGAACAAATTGATGGTTGCCAGATAGGAGGGGCGTTGGGGGGAAGTTTGAAAAGGGGGAAGGGATTAAGATGTACAAATTGTCACTTATAAAAACAGTCACAGCATATATTGCACAGCATAGGGAATATAATCAGTAATATCGTAGTAGCTGTGTATGGTGTCAGATGGGTACCAGACTTATAAATGTGTAATCACTATGTTGTACACCTCTCAACTATGATATTGTATGCCAACTATAATTGAAAAATTAAAAAGGCTGTTTGAAGCCTCAGTGTTGCCATCACAGGTTATGCAACTTAAGCCTGATTTCCCAACTGCAAAATGGGGGAATGATACATAATCTGCAGAATTGTGGAGGTTAAATGATAACCTATGCAAAGTGCCTGCCTATGTACCATGTATATAAAAGGCATTTAATAAATGTTCGTTTTTATCTCACCAAATAACAAGTAATAAAAGCAGGATTTTGGGATATTTATACTAAAGATTAAAAGACTAGCAGGTTATAAAGAAATGGTTGAGCAGGTTGTAAAGAATCCAGGAACATTGTGGCTAATTTTAAGATAGATTAAATGGTATTATTTAATGTAGATGAGTTATAAATATTTCAGTGGTATTGGTTGTTCTGAGCAGCACATATATGAAAATACGAGTTAGGAAACGTGTCTATTTCTTTTGACAGTCTTTTTTAATACTGTAAAGAATAGAGTAATACAACAGATTCTCATTTATCTGCCACCCAGAACTAACAAATTCCAGCCCTCTGTCATGTATGCGTCAGATATTTAGCTTTCCTCTTAAAAGAATTAAATGTTCCCAACAAAAGTGAGGCTTCTTTGCCCTCTTTCCCCAGGTCCTTTCCTCTTGCTTCCTCTTCAGAGACAGCCACTGTCAGGAATTTGGTGTCTTCCCATTCAGATGTTCATATTTATACTTGTATTAGATATATAAGCATACTTTTTTTTTTCTGAATTTACTTTCAGATTTACATAATTATATTTTATGAGTGTTCTGCTCCTCGCATTTTTCCTTAACACTGTATTTTTGAGACTTCGCCCTCATGGAATGTTTATGGCTTTCCCCATTTAAAAAAATTTTTTTTTTAACATTTTTATTGATTTCAGAGAGAGGAAGGGAAAGGGGGAGAGAGAGATAGAAATGTCAATGACGAGAGAGTCTTTGATCGGCCGCCTCCTGCACGTCCCCAACTTAGGATTGAGCCCACAACCCGGGCATGTGCCCTGACTGGGAATCAAACCTCGATCTCCTGGATCCTAGGTCAATGCTCAACCACTGAGCCACGCCTGGCCGGGCACGGCCCCCATTTCTTAACTCATCAACACTTTCCCACTCACTGATTCAGATACTTCATTCAGCTGGAGAGTAGAATTAGCGTCTCATACCGTAAAAGGGCTGGGAACTCCTGGATTAAACACCTTTTCAGTGTGAACTACACAGGGTTTCAACTACAATGTTCAACTGTATTTCTTTGCTTAACAGCTCAAATTCCAGCCAGCACTTATTTCAAATGTGGTTTGAAAAAGTACCACATTTCTGATTATCATCTGCAAGTTGATCTGTCTACAGCCAAAGCTTCCATTAATCTACAGCAGACCCATCATCCAGATTTGTTCAAAAGGACTTGTATTACAGAAATTACGTTTCTAGAAAGAATATGGATTACATCTCCTTGTAGATTTTATTAAAAATTGACTAAAACCTTCTGGTGCCAAATGCATTTGTTCTCTGTTTTGCCCTCCTCTTGTTTTGTTTTCCCATTTTGTTTTTGACAGCTTTATCACCGGTCCAGCTGTAGTCCCAGGGTACTTCTCCGTTGATGTGGAGAACGTGGTACTCATTTTAAATGGAAGGGAAAAAGCAAAGGTCTTTTACGCCACCCAGTGGTTACTTTACGTCCAAAATTTAGTACAAACTCAAAAGCTCCAGCATGTTGCTGTCGTTTTGCTTGGAAATGAACATTGTAACAATGAGTGGATCAACCAGTTCCTCAAAAGAAATGGAGGCTTTGTGGAGCTGCTCTTCATTATATATGACAGCCCCTGGATCAATGACATGGATGTTTTTCAGTGGCCTTTGGGAGTAGCAACGTAAGTACAAAATATTGGACACATTTCTAGACTTTAAGACCTGAATTTCAGAATCAGGATGATTGTGTTTTAAATTTGCAATAAATGTAGTTCTTTTAAGATCAGTGAGGCCAGGTACAATCTTTTTCATGGGCAAAAATATAGTTTGGTCTCATGCTTCAGTAACAGTAATGATGTTTTTTGAGGAAGGCAGATGAATTACCTTTTTCTGTTTTAAAAGTGCAAGGGTAGGATAGATTTTTAAAAATTTATCTTTATTGTTGAAAGTATTACAGATGCCCACTTTTTCCCCCCACTGACCCCCACCCTAGACCTTCTCCCCACTATTGTCTCTCCACGGGCTATGAACTTGTATGCACATATGCATAGGATACATTTTTAAGTTTATCAGCAGTTCCTTAAAGAGATGTTTAGTAGAGGATGGCAGACAAACAGACCTTAAAACAATTATTATAGAATCTCTATAATTAATAGTATCTTTAAAAAAATACATTTCTTTAAAGGCAATATTAAATCAGGAGCACACTGTATGTACCCTTGGGCTCGAAAGCATATACTCAGATCTGCAACTAAGACCAGCTGAATTTGCACAAATTTCTATTAAAAAGAGGAATTAATTCTTTCTTGAATATGGAAAACTTATTTTTTATCTTTCTGGTAATAGAAGGTTTTTTAAATTAAGAATAAGTTGGTTTGCCCTGGCTGGTGTGGCCCAGTTAATTGGAGTGTCATCCTATACACTGGATTTGCTGCCTGGTCAGGGCACATACCCAGGCTGTGGGCTCGATCCCCAGTCAGGGCGCATATGAGAGGCAACTGATCGATGTTTCTTTCTCACATCAATGTTTCTCTTTCTCTCTCTCATGATATTTAAATCACATATTTATTATTCATTATTTTATAACCAGCTATGAGATGTGGCCCTAGACTGCTGCCTAGCTGACTACATGAATATCACCAGAGAAGCACATTAATAAGACAGGATCCCTGGGTTACTACTATTCTGATTCAGTAGGTTTTGGGGGAGGGTCAGAGAAAAATGTTATTATATTCAGTACAGCCAGGTTTACAGCCTCTGAAAAATCTATCCCTTGAGTAAAGCCTATATTTGTAAAATGTTTTGAAGCCAAAAAAATTACTATTTCACAGTAATACTACGTAACTTATTAACACAGTATAGGATGTAACCTCTGTAATTCTGTTATTGTTGAACTAGGCCAGTATCTCTGGTATAGATCAGTGGTTCTCAGCCAGGGGCAGTTTGCCCCCCACCCAGGAGACATTTGGCAATGTCTGGAGATCTTTTGGGTTGTTACAGTGGAGGGAGGAGAGGTAATACTGACATCTGGTGAATAGAGGCCAGGGATGCTGCTCAGTATCCTACAATGTAGAGGATGGCCTCCAAGACAACGAATTACCTGGCCCCAAATGTCAGTAATGCTGAGGCTGAGAAACCTATTATAGATGGTTATATATAGCTTTTCTCTTATATGAAGGTTGTATTTCAGGCACACAATTTGATTTCCGTTACTTCCAAATGCCCATAAAAATGGGCCTGTTGCAATAGGCCTCTCCTGTATGGCATGCAAGTTTTTGTTTGTTTGTTTTTTAATCTACTTAAAGCCTTTGAAATGGGAGCTCTTTGCTTTAGTGGTATGTATTCTATCACCTGGCTAAAGTGTTCATTAAATCCTGATCATTATGAATATAGAGGTTATACTTTTAAGGTCTTGAATTCCGCCTGCCTTGCAACTACAGGTGTATAATAGAAGTTGAAGAATATAAAATTAAAAAAAGCCCTTTGGCACACAATGTCTATAGCAATTTTAAAAGATGTCATTGTAGGAATCTTTTTTTTTTTTTAAGCCAATAGGTTCAAAGACTTTTCCAAAGTAAGCATAGAAAATTGCAACATGGGGTTTAGAAAGTCATATTTTAAATCTCTTGTTTCTATATCATCATGCTAAGATGTTGGGTTATGGGACTTTTGCCAATTTTGTTGTCATATATTGACTCATATGTATTTTTTTTTATAGATATAGGAATTTTCCTGTGGTGGAGGCAAGTTGGTCAATGCTGTATAATGAAAGGCCCTACTTATGTAATTTCCTAGGAACTGTTTATGAAAATTCATCCAGACAAGCACTCATGAATATTTTGAAACAAGATGGAATTGACAAGCTTTGTTGTGTTTCAGTAAGAGAACAGTAAGTTCTATTTCCTTGATTCAGTCATTTTGCTCTGCCATCTGAGAGTTGCTTTATGTGGCAGCACAGATGTCCAAAGAAACATTAACTCCATTTATATAAGTCTTTTCCCAGGAGATAGATTGGTAATTGAAGCTATGAAGAACTTGGAGTGTGTACATTTAAAACAGGCAGAATCTCCTATAGCTATAGTCCATCTCGAAGAACAACACTAGTAACTGCCATATGCCCATGTCAATTGTTTGGGTTTTCTCAATAATATTTGTTAGTCAAACTTGACACACAGGGAATAGTGAATGTGCCAAGAAGGTCTTAGATTCATCCCTGAGATGTCCTGCAGAGACCAGTCCAGTGTCCTAGTATTGGCGTGGAGTACTCCTCACACCCCAGGAATCTGGCATCCCTGAGGACAGGGGCCACTTACTATTCTTCTTTGAACCCCCAGATCTCACACAGGACCTTGCATAAAGTAGGCCAGGATGAATGGGCAGTGGATGGATGGATGGATGCATTGATTTAATAGGGTGGACTTTCTTCCATTTTTTTACGTAGTAGTTATGAAATGTATTCGTGGAGTGAAAGAAGAAATTTTGGAATTACTCATTTTGTTTTTAAAAAATCAAATGGAGTTTTGAGTGTATGAAGCAGAGTCCCCAGGGAACTAATGTCCTTCTCAATATAGAAACGCATTCATTGTAGCAGATACTCTCATCTAGAAAGCTTAACTCCCAACTCCATTATTTGTGTAACCATATTATATCCATTCAATCAACAATTATTTATCAAACAACTGCTATATGCCAAAAACTGTTTTAGCCATGAGGGATACAGCAGTGAACAACAGTCCTAAGCACACGCCCTCTTATAACTTAGATGCTTGCTGGAGGAGACAGACCAGTAAAATATATTGTGTATCAGAAGATGATAAATGCCATGTAAAAAAATTGAGCAGAGAAGCAATGTAGAGAGGACTGGGGATTGGGTGGAGCTTTCTGTTTCAGAATGGTCAAGGGAAACACTAGTTGGAAGGTTACATTTAAGCGCAGGTGTGAAAAAGCTGCCTGTATCTGTCTGGGAGAAGAGCAGTCCAGGCCAAGGCAGGCAAATGTAAAGGGCCTACGGCAGAAGCATGCTTACCATGGGTGAGGGACAACAGGGACAGCGTGCCAGGAATGGAATGAGGGAGGGTAGTGTAAAATGACAAAGTTAATGATGGGAATAGAATTATTTTTGTAATTCTGCTCATACCATTGGGCCAGGAGGTCGAGTACGTGTCCTCCTTGGTTCTCGTTGCTGTTTCCCGACCATGCTCCCCTTTCCCTCCCAAGAGCCTCCAGTATTGAATCTCTCGCCAGCAGACAAAACCATCCATCACTCATCCTCTTTGACGTCATATTTTGACCCTTGGGTTTATCTCCTTAATTTTTGAGGAGTTTAATTCCTGGCACACACTCTCTGACATTACTCCAGTCTCACTTTTGGTGATTCCCAAACCTATGTAGATGGTCCTTCCACCACCTTGGTCTTGCAGTTCCTTTCCCTCCTCTCCTCCATGATCTGGTCTCCGCTTGACCTCAGCTGTGCACTGGGATGGTTCTTTCCCAGACCTTATCCATACACACACTGCTTCTCCACTGTCTCAAGTTCCAGCAACTCTCTCCGTAACCACCATTTCCTGTCATGCCAGCTCATGGCCTGTAATAATCTCCCACAGTTTAGCTGGGACCTACAACCCGTTGTTCCTACTCCCTTTCATTGTCCTTTGCTCACCTCTTATCTTTACTCTCTTCTCTGCCCCACTTAAGTGTCATAGTGAGTCGTGACTGGATATACATTCAGCTCCCTCGTTCCTAACCTAGCAGACCCGAACTCTGGTTAAATCCTGCCCTCACCTCACCATACCTGTACCCATGCAACCAAACACACTTGCAGAAAGCTGCCAATCGATCTCACTTTTAATGCATGACCTTGACCCTCAAATGTGCAGCAGTCATCCATTTCCCTTGTCTGTGTTCTTCCACTCTCCTAGAGACTGTTTCATACCTTGCCCTCTCTTCCAGACCACTCTCACCTTATGACCCTAGTGCTCATTTCACTGAGAACATGGGAATAGTCAGGAGAGAACAGCCAGCTTTCCAACTGGACTCTCAACTTCCTCCCTTGCCCCTGTATCGTCTGTTCTTAACACAACAGCCAAATTGGTCCTGATATAACACAGGTCAGGTCAGTCACCCCTCTGATCCAAACCCTGTGTGACAGAATTCCCTGACCTCATCTTCTATACCTTCCCCCCAGTCTCTGCTTCAGCCACCCGGCTCCTTTGTGTTCATTGAGCATGCCAGGCACACGCTGTTTCGTGGCCTTTATGCTTTCTCTGCACTCTGTCCTCCCCCCAGATATTTGCATGTTTGCTCTCTCACTTCCAGCTCCATGCTCAGATGCCCCATAGTGAGAATTCCCTGATCACCTATTTAAAATTGCAACACTGCCCCCTCAGAAACTCCTGCCTCACTCTCTGCTTCATTCTTCCTCACAGCACTTGACACCTTCTGAATAATTAGCTGACTTGACTTGGTTGCCACCTGTGTCCACCACTAATCTAGAATATAAGCTCCAAGGGGACAGAAATTTGGAGGGTAAGGTAGAGAGAGAATTCAAAAATATTTGCTGAATTAGCGTTCATTCAGAAATCTTATGGTGACCACTGACTTCTGAAATGTGTAACTGTAAACTTTTCAAATTCTTAAATATTTTCAAGAAATCTATTCTGGCAAGATTTTATTTATCTTTCCTGCCTGTCATCTCTGAGTTTACCATTGCCTATAACTAACATTAAAAGGTAAAATCGTTTCTTTCACAAAAGATACGCTTAGTAAATTGAAAACTACAGCGTTTTTTTGTTTTGTTTTTTTTTCTGATTTTCCAGGTGGCAGCCTCAGGAAACAAATGACAGCCTTAAGAATTATCAGGAGGCTTTGCTGCAGAGCGACCTCACGCTGTGCCCGGTGGGAGTAAACACGGAGTGCTACAGGCTGTACGAGGCCTGCTCCTACGGCTCCGTTCCCGTCGTGGAGGACGTGATGACAGCCGGCAGCTGTGGGAATGCGTCGGGCGCCCGCCGCGCACCTCTGCAGTTACTCAAGTCCATGCACGCTCCCTTCATCTTTATTAAGAACTGGAAGGAACTTCCCGCTGTCCTAGAAAAGGAGAAAACGATCATTTTACAAGAAAAAATTCAAAGAAGGAAAATGTTACTTCACTGGTATCAACACTTCAAAACAGAGCTAAAAATAAGATTTACTAATATTTTAGAAAATTCATTTTTCATGAACAATAAAGGTTAACTGTTAACTATCTTTTTGAGCTTAGATCTGATTTTTTAAACCATCTCTAACATTGGGTGTGTGTTTGCTTGTGTGGTTGTGTGTTTATCACTGTTCTCTAAGGTGCCCGTGTAGACCCCAGGTGATATCTGTCACGGTGGACCAAACGCTCCCTGCTGGGCCACTCCAGAAAATGAAGCTGAAACGTCACTCAGCTCATGTTTTCAAAGTTGAATGATTCAGTATTTATTAATTCTTTTTACCATTAAACCCACTCTAGGGGAGCAGCATTGTGGAGTGGAAAGACTTGGGCTTTGGAGACAGACAACCTGAGTGAAAACCTTGCCTCTGCACCTACTATCTGGGGACCTCGAGGAAGACAACTAATTGCTCTGAGTCTTGGTTCCTTTCTATGTAAAATGGAGATAATGGTACCTCATAGGGTAAGTTGTTAATATGAAATGAAGTAATATGTAAAGTACCCAATATATATAGTAAACTCTAAGTAAATAGTAATTTCTGATTCATTTTTTATTCCTTACTGGTTAGGATTAAATTTAAATATTTTATCACATGCCCATTTACATATTTGGGAGTAATCGTGCGGCGTCGGAATGTATGTGGACAAATCTTGTGGAGTTAGACTTTTGAGTGACTCAGGTTTTGTTGGATCGTGTTGAGGTGGGTGCCTGGATGCAGAAATTGGCCATAATCCATACAAAACATGGACTGGGGCAGTCAGAACCAGAAAATTACTGCCTAAACTCTGCAGAGGTTGTCATTGAAGGACGGAAAAAGGCTGGCCAGCTCAGAAGAGCGCTTCACACAGAGGCTGGCTGATGCCCGTGGGGAGCGGTGGCTTTAATGAAGGCTGACGAGTGTCCTTTATCCTCAGGACCTTGGGCTCCTGTGAGGATGCAGAGGAACATGGGCTCAACCTGTTGCTTTGCCTGCCTTTTTATTTTCTCAGGAATCCTGCCACTTAATTTCTGTGAAACCAGGGGATTAACATCATTATTAATGATGCTTTTTGTCTCATTATATGAATGGCCTTAGATATTCAATAGGTATAAATTCCCCTAGACTTTCATGGACCTGGAGCTTATACAGGGGTCTCCACATTGTCAGGAGGTCTGGCAGCCTGGATGTAAAGGACCTGACCTTAGCATCATGGGGAAGAATTGTGGTGCCTGCCACAATCCTGTTCAATTCTGAGGGAACTATCCCTACTAAACGCACCACAGGTAGGGAGCTGTTTTACACTATGTGTCTCTCCTCTTTTGTGACCCACTTCAGGTGACAGCTATGGACACTTTATTCAGGGTGCCCTGTGTCAGTAGGCTTCCTGATGACCCTGGACATTGGTACCAAAAAATAATAACTGGAGCAGATAGCTAGTTCAAGACCTTTGTGAACTAGGAAATCCTGAAAATCTGGGAGTCAGGCAGGAGCAGAAACTGAAAGGATGCAGTGGAATAGGAGCTATAAGGTGGAGCTGCAGCTGGGAGAGAAGCAGAGATGCTATGGACGAGCTCAAGAAGAGCAATCTGCCCCAGAACTGTTGGGATGGTTCCTAACGGGTTTTCAGCTCCAATGCCCGGGAACTCGGAGATGCTTTTGTATTCCCCCATTATGTATGTCCAGAACCATCTCCTTTCTTCAGGCTTCATCCCTCTTTGCTCCTGGTTACTTGAGCTGACTTCTAAGCCAAAAGAGCCTATCCAACACTATGACCATGCATTTCATCTCTGAGTCCCATTTGTCTTTTCCTTGAGCAGGAGTGCTGCCAGGTGCGAGGTTGTAACACAGGTCTCCTCTGAGCAGGTTAAAGAAGTCTCTGTTCTGTATTTTACCGACAAGACTGGATCATCTTTCTCTTCATGTGGTACTTGATGTTGCCCATGAGCCTTTCAAAGAATGCTTTCTTCATTGATGTATTTGTTGCCAGCAAAGCCTTTAGAATGTCAAGACCATGGGGCAGGACACAAGTGAGTCATATCAAAGACATTTTCTAATGTCCCTCCACATTCTTTCTTACCCTATGGAGTTTGTGGGTAACTTATTAAGAGGCCAACTCTAAGCCATTAAGTTGCCTATAGGACTAGTTGGAAATCTGCCTACATATTTCTGGTGGTTTGTGTTGCAATACATAAGTTTGAAGCTCCAGAAAATATCAGGGTCTGAATTCAAAGCTTCACTGAGCCAGAAATACTGTTTGAGACCAATGCTGGAATGGGACTCCACTTACAGGTTGCTCTTCTATCAATACCAGAGAATTCCCCACCTCAGGAAGTAACCAGGCAGCAGAATGCATTTACACATTAAATACTATGTAACATACACTGTGTACCAGGAACTTACCTAAATGTTGGGAATTTAAAAAGGGGAGGGGGGGGACTCAGAGAAAAACCTGTCTGTCCAGGAGTAAAGCTTCCAGACTTGTCTTGAGTTTAATTTCAAGGGTTAATAGATTTGGTGGCATCTTTCAGAATCAGCAAAGGGACATGGGGCAGCATTTTTCCCCCCTCTAAAATCAGCCGAGCCTGAGACCTTCCAGGTGAGTCCATTCAGGAGGGATGGTTAATGGCCTCTAAGCCTGCAGAACCACTGACCTGTGCAGGCCAAGGGTTTCAGTCCTCTCCATCCATCGGGATGGATTCATCCCAGAGGGGGTGACTGAATACCGGCTCACTGGGGTGGTGGTTCCTGAGTATCCTCAGAGGGAGGTAGAGTCCCACTTGCTTCGAGATGTCTGTCCTATCACTGCGTCACTGGCCCTAAAATGACTTTTTGCTCCATATAGTTCTCTCTCATGCATGTTAATCTATATAACTAGGTTATCTTCTTCTAAAGCATACACATACAAACCTATTTGCTCTCAAACCTTCTTAATCTCAGTAAACGGTGTCACCAACCATGCTGTTTCTCAAGCTGGAATCTGTGAATTCCCATTTCTTCCTCCCCACCCCTCCAATTAATCACCACGCTCTGTACTTTTATTGCTCTTTAAATTCATATTTGGTTTAGGCAAATTTTCTAAATAAAATAATCTTTTTTGGGTAGCAAATTACTGTAGAAATAATGTCACTGAGATTAATTCTACATTTAGGAAAATATGAAATACCATGTAAGAAACCGTACCTGTGAGATATATTATTAATCTATAAAGTAATTTGAGGTTGAAGGCTGTATGTGACAAACAGAACTTCTGAAATATAAAGTTTAATATGGTATCAATAATTTCTAATATAGTCCTTATCACAAGAAAAAAAGTTATCTGTGACTGTGGGTACAGTTGTTAACTAGACTTACTGTGGTGGTCATTTTCCAATATATACAGATAGCAAGTTATTATGTTGTACACCCGAAACTAATGTAATGTTATGTCAGTTATACCTCAGTAAAAATAACAATTTCTACTGTAAGTCCTCCATAAATATGGAACTACTTAAAATGTCTAATGAGAATTAGTTTTCACAAACATCACAAATTATTGGTGTTTAGTCATTAATTACATGTTACCAAGAAAACAGTAATTAAAATACCATATTAAGGGCTATAGTTACTTTAAGTAAGTCAATTAGACAAATTGTATCTTCAGTTTTATACAGTCTAGTGGCAATATTTTCTGTAGTAGAAATGTAGATATTTTTTAAAGTTACCAGTTGCAGGGAGACTGTGTTCTCTCTCTGTGACTGACGGTCTCCGTCCAGGAGCCCCGCCTGCGTTTATGCGAGACAAGAAGCTGCTGCCAGGGCAGCCACCGCAGGGGAAATTGTGGTCTGGACAGTTCAACTCTCAGGATGTATTTTTGTTGAAATCATTTTATTACAGTGATTATTATGTGCCCTCTTTTACTGTTAAAAGAACTGTTTCAAAAAAGGAGCACATTTTGTCTGTGGCTGAAGGTGCTGTTTAAGGTGACAGCTTCTGCCACCTGGTGAGTTACTTGGTGTTCCTGGGTCTCTCCCGTCACACAGGAGGCACTCATGTTATTATACTTCGATTTGTTTTGCTCCTGTGAATCTCTCTCATGTTGATGTGATTATTAGCACATCCAGAAAACCTTCAAGGGTAGAGGGTGCTTTGTCCTCCCTGGCACATTACAGTTGTGGGGGTCCAGAACAAGTCTCCCTAAGATGTGTGCCTCTGTGATATGCAGATTGTTTTGAGCTAAAGGCAACTTTAGCTGCAGACCTGAGAGAAACTTCTGCCCCTGCCTTGGCTGCCTGAAAGAAGCTGAATTAGGGCCTTGCCTATAATGGGAGATTTTTTGAGATTGACCTGTCTGTAGAACAGGGCAAACTTCTATCTACTGACCCTGTGTTCTTAGCACCCTGCAATGACCCTTTGAGACCCCCAAGGTGCATTACCTGATCCCTAGCTCAGGGTGTCTTACATACCTACATCCCCCTTTCTATGTCTGACTCTCTGGGGTATTCAGGTTCCCATACATATGTATGTATTAAATTTGGATATTTTATTTTGCTAATCTGTCTCATGTCTGTTTGATTATTAGACCAGCCAGAAGAACCTTGAGGATAAACGGAAAGTTTGTTCCTCCCCCACATAATAGTAAAATTTATCTATAAGTAGTTATAAAAGTTTTGTTTGTTTTTTGGGTTGTTTTTTAAAAAGGCTGGGGAGAAAGGAGGAAAAGTAGGAAGGAGGGGAAGGAGGAATGGAAAGTAAAGGAAGAAATATGGACTGGTATAATAAAGTTTGTGATTTTCACTGAGTCACCTTCACTTTGAGTGAAAAAATGCATCAGAGAACTAGGTAAGTATCAGGATCGTGGACAAAAAAAAGGGGGTTCTATGTAAGGTAACCTCACAGGATGATCTGATCATACATTCCTAACTGGGCAGGTCATGGTGAGTCGTCATGCCCCAAGCAAGTATCTTCTTTGGTAAAAGGTTTCTCTTCCTTAAGCCACCCCTATCCATTGTTTCTGTGCATCTAGGTTAACACACCTTTGAGATGCCTCTTTTTAGACCCCTCAGAAGGAAACCCCCCCTAAAATCAATAAATTA